TTTGCTGGGCAGCTCATCTTTCCACTGGGCACTCCTGCTGCCTGTGTGCCAGTGTCCTTAAGGTGCTCACCTTTAGCTGTGCTCTGCTCATTAATGGGTAACATTTCTCCTTCCAGCCTTCAGTTAGACACTACCTTTCCAGATGGTACTGAAGCCATGTTACTTTTGCTCCAAAGTTTTAAGGTGTTTTGAAAGTGAAACCACCATTTCCATTTTTTAACTATATTGCTTATTTACTCACAACCAATCCCACACTTCCTCCCTCCCCTCCCCGCTCCTTGCCCCATCTTTAGAGCATGAACTGTCGAAAAAACAAATTCCACACAACTCTTCCAGTTTCTGGTTAAGATTGCTAGGCCTGGCATCTTCTTCCCTAGAATTAATAGTCTCCCAGGAGGCTCCATGGTCCCTCATGAGAACAGACTTCTAGCAGACCAAGTATACCTAAAGCCCACAAATAGAATGCCTTAGACTCAAGTTAGAGATGGACCCCCTACCCCACCCCACTCAAGTTACAGGTGCAAAATGCTACAAGTTTGGAAGAAGAACCATTCAAGTCTGGCTGGCTTTGTGCTCAAAGAAGGCTTTGTGCTTACTAACTGTTGGGCACTTTACTTGGCATTCATGGGCACATCCTTCCCACACTCAAAGATGATTGCATTATGAATCCACTGCAAGTGAAATCAGTTGTTTAATGGTCCCTGATTTCTAACAGTTTATACTCCAACTCTTTAAGATGAGCAAACACATAGTTTAAAATACATACTTTTAGTTTGGATTTTTCGTGGAAAGCAACAGTGACTAATGATGTGTTGTTTGCTGTTGCTTCTCCTACTGGGGTTGGTGAAGGTACACTGCACTGATGGCGGAAGTGACAACACTCTGAAGGCCCCATTAATCAGCAACACTGAACTTTCAACAGGGTAAAGTGGATTAACTCATCCATCCCAAAAACCTAAATAGATTTCTGTGATCCAACAAAGTTTGAGAAATTCATGTACATTCATGCAAGAGAAACTCATTTGTGTCACGGGAAAGAAAATTAACAGTGACAGAGGGCCCACTGATTGAGTTCAAGGAACTGCATATACTGAGGTGTAAGTAATTGTCTTAAAGTCAGATAAGTAATAAGCAGAAGACCAAAGACTTAAACTAAAACCTATCTGATTCCATAGCTCATGTACTTTCCCAAATGGTACAGCATGGTATGGTAATCAACAGCCTAATAAAATTAATAACAAAATACTTCTTAGTTAAGTAGATTTTTCTTAAATCCAGTGACATTAACTTCATATTAAGAACAGCCCAACCAAGGGCTATGTCCTCTGTTAGACATAAAAATGTTACTATTATAAGGGACCAATTTATATTTGTTTGATGACTTGCAGATTTTTTTCTTTTTATGGGGGCTAACCAGTGTG